GCAAGCGCCAGCGAGCTCTGCAGGCTGCCCAAAAGGCACTGGGCCTACCAGAACACAAACTCATAACTGAATGTTGCACTCATTGGGGTTCAAAGCAGAGAATGATCCAACGGCTGCTGGAACAAGAAAAAGCTATACCACAGGTTTTAGCTGCTGATAAAACCACAAGGCACCTCATGTTGACATGGCAAGACATTTTCATACAGAATTTTTCAGTGAGAGTGAAAGCAAAGCCATCAAAGTTCAAGTCATGAGTGAACTAGAGCATCTTGTGTCACACCAGGGTAGCACAGCCACAGGTTTTTCAGAAACACCTCATAGATCTACTGGAGACCAAACAAGTCAGGGAGCTGTTAAAAAGCCAAAGAAGAGTCTCGGGAGTTTTTTGAAGGGACCAGTTAGTGGCAAGATAGAGGTAACTGCAGAGAGGTTATCATCTGAACTGAGCAGTTATGTGAATAGTCCACCAGCAGACAATGAGTGTGATCCTCTTTTGTGGTGGAAAGTTCACACAATAAACTTTCCCCACATCAGCAGATTAGCTAGGAAATACCTCTGCATTCCAGCAACTAGCTCTGCATCTGAAAGGTTGTTCAGCACAGGTGGAAATGTTGTAACTTGTCAAAAGTCCTCCCTTAAGCCCACATCTGTAAATATGTTAGTGTTTCTGACAAAGACTCTGTAGAAAACTTCCAGGAGCAGTAGCATAATTTATCCATGTTTTGTTTGTTTTGTTTTTACTCAAGAGTTTGTTATTTGACTTATTGATTTTGCACACTGAGCTTTTGTTGCAAAGCATCTCTTAGGTTTTGTGGATATACATGGTTATGGATTACCATGTATATAACAGGATAACCACTGTTAAATTTTATGTAGCTGTAATGCACATAAAAAACAGCTGCTTGTTTAAACAAAAAGAAATTGATGGGGTTTTTTTTTCCACTAATAAAGTTGTGGAGTTGTATTTTGTTTCGCGTCAATTATATCGTCAGTTATATCGTTATCGCAAATTTTCAATTCTACATTGTAATAAATATTTTTGGCCATATCACACTGCCCTACTCACTAAATCAGTCTTTGAAGCACAGCCACTCAGAGAACTCTCCTTAAGCACCTTCAGAGAGCCCCGCACATCATAGCTAAAGACAAGGGTCGCATTTACCAAATGTGGTAAAACACTTAATTGCCTTGGTAATGCTTGTTGTAGTGATTCCTCGCAGAGGAATTGTTTCAGGGAATCGAGTGGACACCAACCCAAACTGATTACCTGCCCTCGTTTTTGGTAAAGGACCAATGCAGTCTACCAGGACATGTTCAAATGGTTCACTAATGGCAGGGATAGGACATAGTGGGGCGGCGGGCACTACTTGGTTCAGTTTACCCACAAGCTGGGGTCAAAAATCTCCAGAAGGAAGAGGCTACAGGGCATAGCAAGGAGAGCTTCCATGCATTTGTACAATAATGCCCACAGCCTTGCGGAGATAAAGACTCTTCCGGACTACGCAGCCAGGAGAGTGAGTGTTGCAGCAGAAGCCTCTGAACATGATCAGTTTACGGTTGATGTTCAATTAAACATCTGCTTAACAATCTTCCATTCACTATTTTTACCAACGAGGGCCTGTGCGGTATTTCTATTGTTCAAAGAAGGTACATCGAAGTTATGTTGCTGAGGGAATTGGTAACCCTAAAATGCCACTTCTGGTGATAATATTTTGGGTTTAGGTATTGTTGCTTGCTTGAAGGCTATCTACAAAAACAGTTCAATAAGGAGAGATCAAGTGGAAAAATAATGTAAGCACAGTTTGATAGTGCTGGAAATATGAACTGATATAAAAATGTACTATATAATAACAACAAATAAAATGCTAATCAAATAATAAAAAGCAAAGTAAAAAAATTAATCTTATCCAGACTAACTAGATAAAAACTGTTTTTTACCTTTTGTTAATGCAGACCTTCCCAAAGTGTGGGGCCCACCCCCTGGGGGGGTGCAGAGCCATTGCAGGGAGGGGGGGGTATGAAAAGGAAGAAACAAAACCAAAAAAACAACGCTTGGACACTGCTAGCACGGGGCGCCTCCACAAACGCAAAGCAGGAGATGAAGCATCGCTGAATATGTTTCCAAACCAACTTCATTCTAAGCCAAAGACTAGAAAATATGGTGAAGCATATCTTTACCTGCACAAGTGCCGAGGTAGGTCTCCCCTGCAGAATTGGTTTTCCCTTCATCGGGAGCAGCGCTGGGCTGTCCAAATCACGGACAAACAGTATCCCACATTCTTGATTTTTAGTTCACAAACA